GGAGGAGGAGGAGGAGGAGGAGGAGGAGGAGGAGAAGGAGAAGAGAAGAAGAAAAGAAAATCCTGTGATGAAAGCTTGGGTATCCCCGTTTTATAGCTGAGGAGCCAGTAGGTGAACCCCTTGCTCAGGTCAATCCTCCCACCACAGTAACCATGTGATTCTTTGACCAGTGCTTTTGTTCCTACTTTTTGAAAAGTCTCAGAGACTGTGGGTCATGTATTTTTTTCCCCTCCTCCTACCTCAGGCCAAGACAGTATGGCTTAATAGGACCTACTTAAAAAATATGACTGATTTATATGATAGGCCATGGCATGTTGTTTCAAATGTGTGTCCTAGTCTTTTAAATATTATGCTGCTATAATTTCCCTTATAGTACAGTGTCAAAACAAACAAAAACAGAAAACAAGCAAGAAAGAAAACAACCTTCAAAACACGTGTCAGTGGTACCTTCTTAGAATCTCTGAGGCACAAACCATGCCTCAGAACTAGAAGGGAGCTTCAGGACTATATTCTTCAACATTTTATTTTAGATAAGAAAATGCATTAATTTTGTGCAAATACCTTACTAAGTCAAAGACAATATTTGCAGTTGTCTTTAAATGTCAATTGAATTCTACTTTGGAGTCAGAACAACATACGCTATCCATATTTTCACCACTTCTCAAAATGCGATCATTGGACGTTGTGCTAGGGGCAAGAGTGATTGTATTCAAGTAGAACTGGCCCCTCCATCTACCTCTCTCCCAGTTAAGTAAAAGAACCTTTCTGGTTGCTTGTCTGCTCTTTTTCTGTTCTATTTCTTCCTTTCTAACCTTCAGTTTCATGTGTCCCATCTTTGAAAACTGCACAAACAAGGCTTCTTATTTGTGCTCATCTGATTCCCAAGTGTCACCGTGTGCATAGAACCACCTGGGGACATTGTTAACATGCAGATTCAGATTCTGCACAAGCTCCCCACAGGGCCTGCACCAGTGGCCCTGGGCCCTATTTTGAGAAGCAGGTCAAAAGCCATGGAAATCATTCCATCTTTCTCCCTGACCTTCCCTCCAGTGTTGGCTTGCTACCACCACGCTGTTTACACAGATAATAAAAAGTCTCCATGTCTGTTCCCTGCCAGCCCCCAGAGAATACGTTTAAGCCACAACCAAGGAAACCTAAGCAGCTCACTTCAACCTGACCAACAGAACCATGAAGAATTCTGACCTTCAGCTTGGCTTAGGCACCAAAATTTCAGAAATGGCACCTTCTATTTCTTTGCTTCTCATGCCAGTATTTTTAAAATGCCTTGTTTCTTGATCAAGGGATGAATTTACAGTAGTTATTTCAGAGACTGGAAAAAAACCCTCCTGTAAGCATTCAAACTTCCCCACAGGGCAGAGCTAAGTCCCAGGAAGTGGCCAGGCATTAGAATTTTGCATCTCAATGACTGAGTATGAAATAACAACTGGTGCCTTCATTATCTCATTTCCCGAGGCTACTAGGCAGTGTTTTTCAGAGGACAAGGAACAAAACTCAACCTCAAAGGGGAGGCTCTCCGGACCTACCAGTGGCTTTGCTGCTGCTCTTGGATTCCCTGAGTCCCCTGAATCAACAAAGAAAGCTTGCTCCATTGTTTCACTTTGCAAAAACTCTTCATCCCCCCCCCCACTTTCCATTTCACGCTGAGTGAATTTCATTAAGATGGCTTTCACAGAAGCTGAGTGCTGGGTCCATGGGCCCCGAGGGACCGCAGCCTCTGCAATGTCGGAAGCCTCCTGAGACCGTTCTTTTCTGCTGAAAAACTCCTTGGAGAATCGTGGAGTAGAATCGAAACGCTTTTTGGTGCTTGAAGAAGTAGTTTTGGTCTCAAGAATACTTTGATGTTGGTACCTGCAAATTTTTTGATGGTATCACCTGGTTGGTTGGTGGCCTAGTTAATATCCAATGTCTGAGAATTCATATCACATTGATAAAACTGGCCTAAAGTGTTAATTAAAATCCTTTTCATTTTAGAACTAGGTATGTTAATAAAACTGACCTGAGTTCCTACTTACAACTTGTCTGTGGGTTTTCTTTCCAATAAAATATTGTGGTTTAAAAAGTCAACTATAATTATATTTCAATTAATAATAAAAAGGAGCTTTTATTCTTATTTTTCCTCTGAAATTTACACAGTAAGAATTTTAATGTTATTCTATGTTCAGAAGAAATGACAGCATTAGTTGCTCAATAGTCTTTCCAAAGCACTGCATCATAATAGTAAAATAGTCTATATCAAAATAACAGATTAAAAATAGAATTTACCCAATCATTTCTTTTCTCTATGGTAGATAGATAGATAACTATTTCCAAACTTTCCTTATGATTAATTCCCAAAGTTTATAATGAACATAGCAGTAGCTAACATTTTTAAGTATTTAATATGTGCTAAGCATCACTGTAAATATTTTACCTACCAACTCTTTCACTTTTATAAAGGTAGAAATGATCCTACAACTCCTATTTCAGAGATGTGGGAAGCAGGTAGAGGCAAGTTAAATAACCTGCCCAAGTGCACCCTGCTGGTGATTGGCAGAGAATGTTTAAACCAAAGACTCTTCATATTCCAAAATCTCCTCTGTGCCATGTTGAGCCCTGAGTTAGACTAAGATTTACTTAAGAATCATTTGGTTAAATAAAAGATTTAGCCTATGTATGCAAATCAATATATTTAAAAATATATGAAATTAAAAATGTATAAAAGCTACGTAGTCACCTTCTCCTTGGTTCCAGTGAATGCAAAATTGCAAATTTTTCTCAAGTCCTACACGTTTCAAGAGCTGCCCATAGGTGATGGTACTGCTATATCAAGCACATGAAAAGCTTTAAGAAAACAATTGTTGTCTTTTACTCTCTTTTCCATGTGGAACACACTGCCGTGACCTGAATCACTTGTATCTGTTGCTTTCTATGCTGTGTGAACGCTTTGTCCTTAAAAGTCCAAATACTGATGAATTTTCAGCTGTATTCCCTTCCCACATACCATTTGAAGATGGGTTTGTTGGGGTTGGTCCAGGATGAGTCGGCTCCACTAACTCCTGAGAGCTGGGATAAGGTAGCAGGAGGGCAAGGGCGTCTTACATGGAGGACTGTTACCGCTTGAACACGTGAAGACCCATCTCTTTCCCTATCTCTGTCCTCACAGAATGTGTGACACAGGAGAAGGACTATTCACTTTTCAAACAAGGGAAGGAGAAATGATCTATCAGAAGGTCCATTCTGCGACACTGGCCATAGCTGAGCAACACGAAAGATTAATGCTAGAAATGGAGCAGAAAGCCCGGGTAAGGCTCCCTCCTCGGTATCCTAACAGCTTGGGAATGAATGTCCCGTGGTCTGGTGTTCCTGGTGTTCATGTGGTTCCATTCCTGGAGTGCCTCTGTGTCTACCCTGCTCTGGCCCCAGGAACTTGCCCCATTTACCAAACCTCTGAGGCCCCATCTCTCACCGCTTTGATACCCTGCTCATTGTACCACAGAGGTTATTTGTGGCCACTCGTCGTGAGCCCTGTACTCCATGTGTCTGCCTATTGCCTTAGACCCAAAGAGGGGGGCGTGTCTAGACAGTGAAGTGAGAGCAATCCTGTCTGTGTAGCCCAATATACACTTGCACAAGATTTCCATATGGGCCCAAAATAACTAAAATTGAGGTACTACCAGAGAGGATTTCACTTCTTTCATTTCTTTTCATCTCTTCCCTTATCATGGAGGCTCTAACATTTTAAGCTTTTTCTATCTATGTTTCAGAGCCAATAATAAAGTGCTTCGAAAAGGAGCGCATGCATAATATTTACCAACAGAATAATTTGACTAGCATCCTGCTCTGGAGCTGTACTACAGTTTCAGGGTCTAAAAATAATTAAGTAAATAATCTGAAGAAAGAAAGTTTATACCACCATAAAGCAAAATTATAAATTTTACTACTTCGTTCAAAGAGCAGACGATGGGATGAACGTCTTTCTCCCTGCAGGAGGCCTAGAGATGCACTGAGAAGCCTCCTCATTCTCTATGAGATACATCAATAGGCCTATTTCCATTTAAGACGATGAAGTTTATATCTGGTATTATTTTTTGTTTCTAAAATTCTATGAAATACTTTGAGGTATGAAAGAAATAGAGAAAAAATCGCTAAGAAAACAAGTAGTTTAACAAATAATCTTATGTTGTTCTTAATGCATATTTTAAACGTGTTTCTGATGTCCCCAATTCTACATATATATTTGTATCTTTCCATCTGGAATGTGGTCAAAAGAGCCTTCCTAACTCCTGGGGGTGGGAGCGGGAGGTAAATCCTGCATGCACAGGCCATTTGACCCTCCATAGGAATGGATAAGTAGCTTGAGCATTTTGGAGATTGATATTAACTGTGGGATTGTTTGAGCTTGTGAGACTTATCCTTCTATAAAGATTTGGGTTAAATTTAAACCCTGGTAGCAATTATCAAATTAATATGACATTTTCCTAGTGATTCCAATCAAGTGAAATACTAAAACTACCAATTTCCAATTATTTGAAAGGCTTGTGCATTCATTATCAGCCTATATTTGCAATCTATTGATGCTCATTTTCATCCAAAATTGAAGATTGCGTTGTCATTTGCTGTTAGTTAACAGTTGATGTTCTTATAGTTGTCCTAAGCAGGCAAATTCTCATAAGGAGAGAGATTTAAAGTACATTTTCATGAAGGAAATATAGAGTGCTTCATGCAACCATGGTCATCTGCCATGGTGGAGAGCACCCAGTGTGGGTCCTCCACCAACTTCCCAGTTCAACCATTCCCTAGCTGGGGAATCCTTGACAAATTACTTAAGCTCTGTGTCTTATTCTTCTCTGTCTGTAACATAGGCACATAGTAGGTCTATCCACTCGTTTCTTATGAGGTTTCTATATAGCAACTTAGTCTATATAAAGTGCTCGGAATTGTACCAAGCACGGACACCATCTCATGGAAGTGCTTGTTCATATGAAGGTGACGTGGGAGTGATTTTGAATAATTATAAGGCTTACAAAAATTGCAAAAACAGTACATTATTATTCCCAACTGTGGCGATATGTCATCTCTTACACACTTTTAAATATGTCTAACCATCTTGTGACACACACACTTACAAAAAAAATTCCAAAACAAAATCTAACTCACATTAGTGGTTGCTATTGTGTGTTTATCATGTTTTTTACCCCTGAGAAGCACACTGGGGAAGTGAATCAATTGCTGCTGAGGACTCAGGGATAGTGGGTCCACTCACTAGAACCTCAGGAGTAGATGACCCCTGGATGTGGGGCCCGACACTCAAGAGATAAGAGCAAATGCAGAAGATGTCCCAGTATAGGTCCACTGAGGCTCTATCTTGAAACCACACGTTTCCAGAAATCGCAGAAGCAGACTTCATCACTTGGTGCACACAAGTAAATGGAGCAAACAATTTCATTTATAAAGTCTTGTGAAGGCTAATGTTAGCAAAAATTTCTATACCTCAAGTTCATTCTTCAGAGAAGGCTCAACTAGTGCTTTTCTGAGGGCTGGCTACCTCAACTTGGTAATTGCCTCAATTCCCCAAATTCTAGGATCATAATTCTAGGACCTGATTTTCAAAACACAACATTTTCTTTTAGATACTTTCCATACATGCACAAAACTCTTAAAAAAGAAGTTCCAAGTATGAAAGACTAGAGTTCACTCTAACTCCTCATTTGTTATTTAAAGTAAGATGAAGACCCGTGCTATCCAGGAGACAATGGTGTAGCCCAGGAATGGTCCCAAAAAGCTTATCTGAGATGCGAACATGCTGCATTTCATTCATTTTGTGTCTAGTAGGAAGCAAGGAGATACTGCTAATTGACTTTCCAGTTTTAAAACCAGGCCATGTGAGATTGATAGGGATCGGGTAGCAAGTGCTTACGTATTTTAACGTGATTTAAATGATTTTATAAGATTCGATTACAAAGATCTATAAAGGTAACCAAGGCCTCAAACATAGCTGTGCAGTTAATTTAAAGCATTTACTTTTATCCTTTTAAAGAGAGATCATTGAAGAGTGTTAGTGGATTTGTAAATTTAAAGAAAAAAAAAATGTCAATGAGAATAATGTCTCAATACGCATTCTCGTTGTGTGTGAGCTTTTCATCACTGTGAGCAAAATACCTGACGGAAGCAGAAGGAAGAGTTTATTTGGGGTTCATGGTTCCGTAATCAGCTGACTTCATACTCGGGGCCTGAGGTGGGGCAGAGCTTTGTGGCAGAATGGCACCGCACCGTGGAGGGAAGCTCGGGGCTGCCTTGGAGCAGAGGGAGAAGGAGAGCCAGAGGCACACCTTCCCCCACACCCATGACCTGCTTCTCACCACGCCCCACCTGCCTACAGTAACCACCCAGTGAGTCCATTCAATTTACTAATCCATCAAAATGTGTTCGTGCACTGAGTGGGTCACAGCTCTCCTGATCTAAGCAGTTTACCTCTGAACATTCCTGCAGTAACACGTGAGCATTTTCAGGGGACGCCTCATGTCCAAAGCATGACAACCACAGGAAAAAGAATTCACTATGATCTTGCAACATCACGTTTTAGGAAATCTCGTTTTGCCCTTTTAAATAAGCTTCCTTCTTGGATACCATATGAATAAACGTATTTTGATATATTTCCATAATCTCAAATAGGTCATATATCTATTCTTGCATAAAGAAGCTGATATCTAGAAAAATACCCCACCTTATGAATAAAGCTATGTATCTCTTACTAAACAGTACTAGACAAAGAAACTACTAAGTTGGTAAGGATATTAAAAACGTGTGTTTTGATTTCCTTCACTGAGAAAGATAAGGAAGCGATTAATATTAACAGACCCAAAGTGTTTTAAGTGCGGGTTGACTACTTATTTAACTATGCACAAGATGATGATGTAATTATCCTGCCCAGTGCCACAGGGAAAAACAAGAACGGGGAATTTCCTTGAGTGGTGCACAATTTTGTGGGATCAATGTACCTGACATCTTTTGATTTCTTGAAATAGCAAGTTTTTCCATATGTTAAGACAACTATGGATAAGACATCACCATCACCAATTTTTAGTAAACAATAATAAGATTATCCCTGGGTGTGTCCACTTTCTCCTGGCAGGGAGCCCAGCTGACTTCCTGGGTGATCAACCCAGTGGAAGCCCCCTCAGGGAATCCCCCCCCCCAGACGACTCTGCAGGGTGAGAGGACCCCGCCCAATGCTGCTCTGAGACGCACCACTACAGCATCCCACTCCTGCATCCATGTGAGGGTCACAGAGTGTGACAGGAAGGAGTGGGACAACCTTAAGCTGTCCATTTTTAACCCCAAGCCTGTCTTGCTTTATAAGAGAGCTTTGTTTTAGGGGTGTATGGGGAAATTAAGTCAACGGAACAAATTTTAAACTGGATCCATTGCAGAGAGATTAGTGACATTCCCATCATTGAGGAAATTATTAAAGCGAGATATTTAAAAAGAATGCACTTGTAGAATTTGTTTCCATTTCATAGAGGTCACTCTCATTCTTTGGAATGGCTGAGGGTCTTCAAATTCTTCTGCCAAAAGACACTCTGCTGTGCTCCTGCCACACTGTCCGGGGATAGTTCGGACTTTCACTGGGAGGCAAGCCACTAGAGAAGCCTGCAGAGAAGCCCAGAAGCCCGCTGTGAGTTTAGCCTGTGGGGTTGAGCTCAGGTTGAAGTCACCAGAGCCAACAGAGCCGCAAAGGGCCCCCCATCATTTAATCTTGATATTAGTGGATGTGCTAGACACCCACACACAGACAGGAATGGTGTGAGCAAAATTTTGTTTTCTTTTTATGTTCTTAAAAGCTTTGCAGCGGTTATGAAATGTTCTCAGGCAGAGAGCAGCTGAGAAGGCAGGAGGGAAAGAAAAAGAGGTCTTCCTGTTAGCTTTGAAAATTAGCTACATAAGAGAAAGGGGGATTTTCAAATTTGAAAACGTGTTTGAAGCTAAACAGCCTCACATAATAAGAATTAGTTGTTTTGCTTTGTTTTTCAACAAACATTGAGGATGCTCCTGTTTTCCTGAAATTCCTGTCTCTTAGTCAGCAGAAATGTCCTGTGTACAATTTAAGGGCAAATAGCACCAGTGCCATTGAAATGCCAACAAATGGCAAGGCTGTGTGCACTGCTTTACAGAGTCCCTCTGCAGGACTCGCCAAGTGTGACCCTGTGACCACCCTAGGCACTGGTGGACAGAAAGAGGACCCCCAGAGTGTCACATAAAACTCCTTCCCTGGAATCAATAAGTATTTTTTTATTATTATTAT